TTTGCCCAACTCTGGACCCTTGAGCAAGGCCCTTAACCCCCACTATCTGCTCCCCGGGCGCCCTACGTGGCAGCTCTCTGCTCCACACAGAGGGCTGTGGTAGCTCGGTGGTCTGTGGTTGTGTCAGGAAGAGCGTCTGGTGTAAAAATAATTGTCAAGTCTTCGTGCGGCTTAGTTTGCTGTGGTGACCCCTAAAGAAGGGAGCAGCCGAAAGAAGAAGATTATATATAACCTTAATGTATTTCTATAGAAAAAGTGTAAATAATGTTAAATATTTCAGAAATAATAAAAGTTGCAAATTAAGTTTTTTCATTTTCAGAAAGAGCTGAATGCTTTCTTTCATGAACAGAAAAAATAGCCAAGTATATACTGTACAGAAAAATAAGAAACGTTTTGTTACCGAAGTCTTGTTCATTTAGCCACAATTTGTCTGAATAAATATTAATAATAATTAATAAACCAGACTCTCAGAAACCAATCAGATATGTGTAATACATTTTAAATATTCAAACCCAACCCAGAGACTGTGTTATTTTTCAGCTAACAAAACAGACACTTTGTTTATTTAGCGTTTTTCAGGAAATGTTTTTGCTGAATTTCCACCACTTACTGCAAAAGTTGGTAAGAAAGAACCTTCCCACTGAACCAGATTTGTCTCTGGGTGTTTACTCCGTGTTTTGCCTGAGTGAAGAAGGTGCGACCTGGTCAAGCTGCGCTGCTCTCAGGTCAGTTTAGTTATGTCCTGCGTGTACGTTGGACAGGTCCACTTCCGTACTAACAAGAAGGACACGAGGTGTGCTTTTTCACAGAGAGCAGAGAAAACAAGCCATGAACCAGTAGTTAGACTTTAACAAAACTCGTAGAAAGTAACCGTATACCTGCAAGAGAATAAGGTTTGGAACAAACCAGATTTAAAAGTAACACAGTGTGAACTAAAGATTAAAAGAAGCAAAAAGCTAGCTAAAACACTAAATTTAGCCAAAAGCTAGCTAAAAGCTATAAGTGGCTAAAGACTTGATAAACCTAATATTACCTATCCAGATTCATGCTCAATAATCCAGATTATGAGCATGAATCTGGATATTTTGAACCACTTTGGCCATGACTGCCTCAAAAGAGTCGGTGGGGGAGGACTCCAGAAACCATCAGATCACCATCAAACTGGTTGACCCACTATATAAAGGTGCCATTTACAAGACTGGGTTTATTGTGGCTCCTCGGACTGATGAAGTCTGCATGAAAGACGAAACGTTTCAACAAAAAGAACCATCCAGAGGACCTGACTTAGCTTTGTTGAACTAAAAGTACCTCGTGAAAGGTACCAAAAGACCAGCAGGAAGATGGCCGCCACAGTCTACAGACTTTAACAAACATGAACATCCAACATAACCTCCACTTATTTATCAGTTAACAATGGTGTACCACAAGGCTCAGTTTTAGAACCCACCCTCTTTACAATCTACATAGGTAATGTAGGTCGGAGCATCCCTGGTGCATCTTTACATTTCTATGCTGATGACACAGTTGTTTATTGTCGAGCTAAAACAGTTGCTAAGGCTTTCCAGCTTTTGCAGTCTGCCTTTGACATCATCCAGTCAGACTTGCTCTGTCTCAAACTTGTCCTAAATGCCGATAAAACCAAAGGGATGCTTTTTATCAAACAGGAAGTCGGTCCCAGCAGTTCTTCCTCTGATTTTATCCTCAAATGGTGTCCCTATTGAGTTTGTCAATTCCTATAAATATTTGGGTATCTTGATTGACTCACATCTCTCTTTTAAGCTTCACATGGAAAACCTAGTAAAGAAACTGAAAGTTAAACTGGGTTTTTTTTTTTTTTCAGAAATAGATCTTGTCTAACTCTGAATGCTAGAAAACGTCTTGTATCTGTGACCTTCCTTCCCTCCATTGACTACGGTGACATTATTTACATGAACGCTCCTACAAGCACCCGGCAGATGTTGGATGCTGTCTATCATGGTGCACTAAGATTCATAACTGGCTGTAACTACCGTACCCACCACTGCACCCTGTATTCACTGGTTAACTGGACATCATTAACTTCACGCAGACTCTCCCACTGGTATATTTTCATCTTTAAATCACTTCTTGGTCTGCTGCCTTCATACATCTCCTCCTACATGTCTCTTCGTGAGTGCAGCTACAGCATGCGCTCTCAGGACATTATTACCTGCAGTGTTCCCTCAGTGAGGACTGAACTAGGCAAAAGGGCCTTCTCTTACTCCGCTCCTGTTTCCTGCAATATCTTGCAAAAAGATTTGAAGCTCTCGACCTTGACCTCTCTAAGTGGCTTCAAACATTTGTTAAGTTCCTGAGAAAAACCAAAGCAGACATGTTCCTGTTTGTAGTTTTCTACAACGCCTTATAATCTAGCTGTTTTTTCACTTCTTTTTCCTTTTGACTGTCCCTTTGGTTGCCTTTTTTAACTTGTAAAAAAACAAAAACATTTGTATGCCTCTTTTATGATTGTCTGTTGTGTTGTCCACTGTTGTCATCACTCTTTGTTAAAAATATCAGGTCTCTCTTATAAACGAGTCCCCGAGGCTCAATGGGATTAACTTGTTTAAATAAAGGTTGAAAAACATGGCTGTAAGAACATAGTCAAAGTTACACGTATTGAACTTAGTTTGGCGTGGTAGTAGCTGAGACTGATTCCGAACACATATTTATGTGTTAATGGATCATGTGAGATCTTTGTTGAAAGCATCGGGTGATCCATTCAAGGTATGCTTGTTTTATTCAGGATGTTTTCTTGCTGCTGTAAACAAATGTTTTCTCTACTGTCATTAACTGAATTACTTCTGCATTAAACTGAGATATTCTCATTAGACTCATCTTGGAAGAACGTTTGCGAGTTCTTTATCAGTCAATAGATCTTTATTTGTTTTAAATTCAATAATAAATTAAAGTAATCCTCTTCCTCTCCGTGTTTTCCCTTCTCGCCCGCCTCGTCTGATTATGTCAACTGTTGTTTTGTGACTCATCCACCGTGACCTCAGCTGTTCCATCTCTCACTCATGTTGGCCTTCAACTCAAAAAACATTGTTTCTGCAAATTATATACTTATGTCCTCATTTTTGTTTGTTTTTCATCCATTTGACGTTTCTCTTCCCTAGTTTGGTCTCAGTGTAAGAGCCGTTTGTTTCTCGTCTAATTGGGGGGTTTGGGCATTGTTAAGGTACAACTGTTGAAAAGTATAAAAAAGTCAGAACGTCATCTTTTATACGTTTTGTGTGGGAAATTAGCTGTTTTTAAGTAATTTATTTTGTATTTATTGGAAAAAATTATAAAAAGGATACATTTACAGATGTTGAGTCAAAGATTGGTGTGGTAGTAGCTGCCAGTAATTTGTAACACACACTCTTGAAGCACTAATAGATCACGTGAGATAAAACCTACTTTCCAGCGGTGTGCAATTACAAACATATATAAGATGCAGGGCTGAGAGAGATTCAGATTTTCTGTGTGCAGCTGTGAAATGCAGGAAATTGTACGTTTCCAACGCCCCAAGATCAACGTCTGCGACATTCTTCACGAGATGTTAGAAATCTGTTCTTGCTCACGTAGTTGTGAGACGTTCTTTTTCAAACTGAAATTTATACTCAGAGAGAAACAAACTCTTGATAACCCCTACCCAGTGTCAACAGGCACTGACATACATTCTACATACAACATAAAGGGCCGCCAAATGTCCCACTTTTTTTTTTTTACCAAACCCCTTAGGGTGTACCTTAGTTTCTTCCAGATGGATGTGGTACATCACCTCCCTTACCCAGTGTGCATATGCTGGGGTGTGTGGGTCCTTCCACTTACACAAAATTAGCCTCCTGGCCAGAAAAGAATCAAAAGCAATCATATCCGTCTCGCATTTGCTGAGGGTCGTATCTACAGGGAACCACCCCGAACAGTGAGATGAGTGGTGATGGGTGAACAGTTTGACCACATATTCCAGAGAAGGTGTCAAAGACAGATTGCCAAAAAGTCTGCAGTTTGTGGCAGGTCCAGAATGTATGCAGAAGTGTAGCTGGAGTTTGTTTGGAACAATTGCATGCAGGGTCCAGGTCGGCCTTGATCTTGGACAGTTTGTCTGGACCAGTGCAGCTTGTGCACCACCTTGAATTGAACAACAAAAAAAAGGTTAAATCATGTCGTCTGGCTTACAACCTTTTTTATTTTATTTTATTGTTTACCTTGAATTGAATTACAGCGTGTCTCAGGCAGATTGAAGATGAGCAAATGTTCTTAATGATCCTTCCCCAGATTGAGTCCGATACGGGTTCCTCCAAGGAGCCGCGTCCCATTTCAGTTTAAGCGAGTCCAAACTGGACTCATGGTATGAACTGAGCAGTGTATACGTTTTGCTCAGGGTCCCCTTGGTATCAGACCTGCACATCAAAATCTTAGAAAATCTACTATTTAACTTTTCTTTAAAACATCAGAAAGACGATGGCGACATTCAGTTACACCAGAGAGAAAAATCATTTTGATCTCGACTATCTTTATTACATGTTTCAGCAGCCCGATGCATCCAAATATCTTGCGTCAGATTCTTGTCAAAGCTTTTTACTGTACCAAGGGAGTTTCAACTCCACACCGTCGCAGCCTCGGGTGTCGAGCTGGACGGCGTCCAGTGAATGACGTGTTGCATGAAGTCCAGAAAGGCAGCTATGAAAACATGAAGTGTTGCGGGAGCCTCAATGCAAACTGGCTGAATGTGGGTCTTTTTAGGCCTTCTGATTAAATTCTCTCCTTCTGCGTGTCACAACAACCTCCTCAGACCGACAAGAAAAATCCCTCAAGAATCATTTTGCAAAAACCAACAGCTGCTTTTGTGTTGTTCTGCAGCATGGGTGGGGGGGCGGGGGCTGAGGCAGCTGGTTTTTATACGATTTATGAAAGAAGTAATGAAACTTGTTGGAGGCGCCAGAAGAGTTGTGTTTTGTTTCTATTTTTTTAATCTGCTTTTTCTCTTTGTTTTGCAGACAACTATGGTGGATATGAGAACCAGCTTTTTAAAGGTAACAATCGGAAAGCAGCCGTGCCTTCGTCTCCCTGCAGTCACGCACACTCTGCGCTTTAACTAATCAGTGATATTTTACAGCAAACACACTCACAAGAAGGCTGACAGAAGTAGGGGTGTTGGGGCTGCAGCACACAGTTGTCCAAATGCACTTTTAGATAAGACAGCATGGACTGTAAGTGTTCATGTTACTGAATATATTTGACTTTATGGGTGTCTGAGGTCAAATTCGCTCGTGCTCAGAGCACCCACCAGCTGAAACGAGCTCCCACGGCTCTGCAACAATTATTAGTAACATAAAAAGACCAAAACAAAAATCTTTTATTGGACTGGTTTTAGAGTTACGATCGAACAAGTTTCAGTCCACTTGAGATTATCTGAAGGTGGAATTTGCTCATTTTACACGATGGAATGAATTGATCTTTGTTGTTGTTTGTGCGCAGAGCATTTAATGATTGTGTTTGGGAACAGATTGTAGGTTTATTCAGCTTCACTAAAATATTTATTTGAACGTCACAGTAATTACAAACTCCAAGGATGCAGATATTTATGAGAGATCTGCTGCACAATAAAAGCAAAACTACTTTATGGAAATAAAGAACTGTTGTCTTTAATGAAAGTTTAGGACCAGTGATCCAGACTAATCCAGTCTTAATCTGTTTTGTTGTTTCTCAGATGAGGACTTCACTACAGAGGAGGAGGAGATCCCTTCTTTTCGAGGTAAGCGGCATAATAACAAACACTATAACGTTGTTATGTTACTTATTTTATAACTTTAACAATAGTTCCTTTCTGTGTGTCTGTATCTATAAAGCAAAGGTCAAAGGTCGTTGTGAACAAAATATGTTTTGTTTGTGTCATAACCAGAAACATCTCGGGAACAGGAAAACACTGGACTTAAAGTCTAAAGCTTTTGGATTATCTATTTTAATAAAACCTGAAGGATATTTGCAACACCAAATTGAAATAAAGGTTATTTTTAAAAAGTGAAGCAAAGCAGCACAGACATTTAAAAAGACTATATATGACTATAATTTTGATGTCTTTTATTTAAGGCACGAGTTGACAAACGCATCATTAGATGAAGTGTTTCTATTCTTAGTTGTTTAGTTTTTTGTGTCTTCAGGTCGAACTCGAGGTGGATGTGTGAGATGCCAGCAGAGCCTCTCTCTCCAGCTGGCCGTCAAAGTCCTGTATGGCTTTGTTGCTTTCCTCGTCATTACAGTTGCAGTGCTGGCCTCACTTGGTAAGAGACGTTTTACGTTTGTTTTCGTTGTTTACGTTCAGATTTTCTCCTGAATCGATGCAGCTATGAGTTTAGTTTGGTAATTCTACAGGTTAGAGCTGAAAAATGCATTAGCAGGCGCAGGAATGTTAAATATTTCTAATTAATCACAGAGCAGTCACCCCCCGCAGATCGAACGGCTTGGTTGTTTTTGTGTGCCATGTTTTATCTTCCAGCTGCTCAGCACTAACACATGGGTTTTACGTTGACGCCACTTTTTACTGGGGCTGAGAGTCTTACATCTTTTACTGCTGCTCAGGAATCTCAGAGGAGAGAGGGAGGCCTCATCAGTGACACAAAGTCCCCCTGAACACAAAAACCCGTGTTCGGTGCATGATACAATAAAGTTCAGGTTTGTTTGGCGTGGGCTGCACACTGTGTGTTGGCGTTTCATTTCATAAAGAACACGTGCAAGAGAAATTCAGATAAACTAGACTTTCTTCAACGTTTATAATTTTTAGGTGGCCATTTTGTTGATAGCTGTTAGCATCATGCTGTTGTAGATTATGTCATCCACTACATGGCAAATTCTTCTTCTTTCATCTGTTCCCTCTTCAGGGGTCTCCACAGCGAGTCATCCTCTGTCCTCACTCCAACTACCTCCATGTCCTCTCTAACTGCATCCACAGATCTCCTCTTTGTCATTTTCCTGGCAGCTGCATTTCTAACATCCTTCTACCAATATACCCACTGTCCCTCCTCTGGACATGTCCAAACCACTGTCCCTCCTCTGGACATGTCCAGACCACTGTCCCTCCTCTGGACATGTCCAGACCACTATCAGTTTGTGTTAGTGAGTGTTTTTTGTTCTTGTAGGTTTTTTTCAAAACCTCTAGATATTGTTTTGTTTCATTCCATCCATCCATCCATCCATCCATCCATCCATCCATCCATCCATCCATCCATCCATCCATCCATCCATCCATCCATCGTCTTTACTCGCTTCTTCTTTTCCGGAATCACTGCTGCCCATATCCAGTAGTCACTATGTGAGAAGCGGGGACACCCTGGACAGGTCTCCAGTCCATCACAGGGACACATAGAGACAAACGAGACAAACAACCATTCACTCTCTCACTCACA